TGGCTCACACAAACTTCAGTGCGCCCAGAAGTAAACCAGACAAAGACAAGAGAAAAAAGAAGAAAAAAAAAGCACAAACACACACACACAAAAAGCATAGAAGGTTTGCGCGCATGCGCTGAGGCAACAGACGAGAGGAGAGAAGCAACGACGGTGGCAAAGCAGGAAGAGGCGGCAAAGCGCAACGAAGGGGGAGGAAACACACACACACACAGGGAGATGTATATATATAAAAAGAAAGAAGAAGCCAAACGCACGCATGCATGCATGCATGCATGCATGCACACACTCGTTCTCTGTCTCCATCCCTTTCATTTCCTCAATTTGCTCTGTAAAGTTGTCGACGGCCACGTCAGTCCCACGGAATGCGTACGGGGAGCAGCCGTCGGACGTCCTCCTTTTCTGCCAGCAGCGTCTGCTCCACAAACCGCCGCAGCGCCGGCATCACCTGCGCGTTCTCAATCTTGAGCTCCTCGCATGTCTCCAGCCACAAGAAATTCGCCGCGTTCTGCTTGCCTTTGCTTGGCGTGTCGTCGATGAGGACGGTGTTCTGCGGGGTGGCGATGTCGGGAAAGCGGCGAAACACCTCCCGCAGGTCCTTCACGGTGGCGTGCTGATCCTCGCGGGAGGCGGCGTTCGTGCGGCGGAACTCGTCCGACGTCGTGTGCTCGCGGGACCACACAAACGCAAACCGCACCTTCGGAGCCCCGCCCTGCAGCTGAAACACCGCCTCCATCACCGGCGCCGTGTTGCGCGCCGTCGTCGAGCTCCAGACGGCGAGCGTGCAGTGCTCCTGCAGCGCCTGCAGCGTCTCCAGCGCCCCCGGCCGCAGCCACACGCGGCTCATGCCGACCGTGACGGCGCCGTCGGGCATGCCGGGCGGCACGCGGCTGGCGTGGATGCGCTCCAGCAGGGTGCCGCGCAGGCCAAAGACGAGCAACGGCCTCATCAGCGCGAGTCGGCCCCCCAAGAGCGACACAAAAACAGAAAACCCGAAAAAAAAAAGCACACACACACACACAGAAGGGAGTCAAGTCTGTGAGCAGCTACGTCTGCCTGTGGGTGAGGGGCGGGTGTGTGGGGGTCTTGCCGCGGGGCTCCACACACGTCAGGGACGGTCGACCCGTAGAGCCCGGGGGCGCAAATAACAGCTAGGCAACCATTCACGCAGGGGGCAGAGAAGGGCACGGCACATAGAGAGAGAGAGAGAGATGCGTGGGCGGGCGGAGGGAGGAAGAAGCCAGGTGTAAACGGCCAGCAACGACACAATAGGCAGACGCCGCAGAGAATGAAAAATAAAAAAAAAGTAGAAAGGACTCAGACCAGGGCAGAGAAAGTAATAACAGTAATAATAACAGGAAAATTCCATTTCTTGAAAATGCTTGCCTGGTTGTTCTCCACCCAAAGCTTCCATCCCGTTGCCGTTTGCTTGTTTGTTGCGCTGGCTTTCTCTCTCTCTCTCCTCCCCCTCGCTTGTTGTCTGAAGCCAGCTAGATAAAATGTATATGTATACATGTAGTTGTGTGGCTGCTCTCACGCCACTTAGCCTGCTGCCCACGGCAACGCAGACGGATGGAAAGAGCGAAGAGAAAACTCCGCCGGAGAAGCCCCCATCTCCCACCCCGTCAGGGCAACGCGTGTGCAACAGACGCCGCCGGTGCCCCTTGACTCGCGTCAGCGTCGCTGCCGGAGTGCAGTCCCCGCCTCTCTGCTCACCGCCGCCAGAAGAAGATCCACGCCTCGTACGGCGCCATGAGGCGTTCGAAGGATTCCCTGCCAAGCCGCAGGTCGGGCATCCCCATCAGAAACATCGCCACGACGCAGCCGCAGCCGGCGTAGAAGAAGAGGTTCGACACGGCGTACCACACCCCACGCCGCTCCCGCCGCTGCCGCAGGGAGAGGACGCCAAAAAACAAGGCAAACCACACGGCAAAGAGGAAGATGGCGCACATCCAGGGTACCGCAATGTGGGTTGGCATGGGCTGATAAAAGTAACCGCCTTCCATGGCCAGCTTGGCGATCCAAATCGTCTCAAGCAAAAGCGCCGAAATCGACACCCACGCCGTCGCGCCTAACCGCGCCATCTTGGTGTCAGTGGCGTTGATGTAGGCGTAAATTTCGCGTATGCTGGGCATCGCCATGAGGCTCCACAGTGCCAGCCGTAGCGTGACAAGGTGGTACTTTGGTGGCATTTGCAGAATGTGTTTCATCGTAAAGCAGTTTAACTCCTCTAGAAACATGAATAGCAACACCATGAGAAACTGCACAAATCGCTTTGGGTCATGAAACACGTCCCATTCGTAGGACACAAAGCTGCGAGGGCCGAACTGGCCGAGAATTCGCTGCGTCTTTCCCTTGTAACCCTTGATGTTCCGCAGCGCGACCCAGTGGTACTTCTTCGCCCGCAGTCGCCGCAGCATAAACATCCCCAGCAGCGTCCCCCCGCCATTGCAGAGGAGCACGTCCAGCAAGAGATGGTCCCACCAGCACTCCTTGAAGTTTGGCAGCACGTGCTGAAAGGTCACCTCAAGAATCTCAAAGCCTACGGAGACACACGTTGCAAGGCGCCAATCCCGCAAAATCAGCGTCTTTACAAAGTAGCCCAGGGCGTGGGCAATAATGAAGACGTCGAAGGCGGTGTGAAAAAACAAGTAGGGTTTACTTGGGGTGGAGATGCGGCAGTCCACCGCATACTGCCCCTCCGGCAGCGCCTCAAGCAGCGCAGGGTCGTAAAGGCCCATGATGGCACGCACCGTCGTCAAGTTCTGAAACAGCAAAAACGACAGCAGGGCCACGTATAACACGGCGAGTGCCAAAACCCCGCGCCACACAAATGGATGCGGCCGCACCAGCAAAGAGTCTGGCAGATGAATCACCCCAAAGACCAGAAACGAAAATGCGGAGGCGGCCAATCCAAGCTTCACGCTGGCCACGACACTCATATCGGGGTAGTAGTAATAGCGGACCATAAGAAGAACGAAGGAAATGAACACCACCAATGCCATGAGGGTATGGGGACTGTAGACAACGTCAGTGAAGTCGATCTCCTTCAGGTAAGGACGCGGCGACATGGGTTCCATTCTGCCCTCTTTGCTCGCGGTCTTCCGCGGAGGCGCCGCCTTCTCCGCCCCATCCCCTGCCCGGTCAACGCTTTCTTCCAAGTTGGCATCCTTCGGGGAAATTTCCCCGCCTTTCAGGTTGGTGGGAGCAGGCTTCCCGTTGGGGCTACCACGCCTTTTCCTGCTCATCGCTGGCAATGCCGCGAGACCACGCACCTTCTGCCCTCCCTGCCTCTTTGCCGCCCTAGTTATACTATAATACGTATGTGTGTGTATGTATGTATGTATATATATAGTTTTTTTTTCGTTAATATGTAATGTGTGCCGCCGCCTACTCCTCGCCAATAATTGCTTGCCTGCGGGAGGGCCTCTTGTGGCGGTGCCTTTGCGCGCTCCCTCCTGCCCCGCTGGCTTTGTTCCTGTTTTCTTCCTGTTTTCCTCCTCCTCGCTTCACTACGCGGCGACAGGTGGAGAGGCGTACAGGCCGTGGGGTGACGCGTCACGGTGAAAGGAGAACCGGCGCAACGGCAGGGAGATCTCTCGCCCCCACACGCACACACACGCAGCAGCGGCAGCGGTACAGAGTAGCAGCAAAACGGAAAAAAAAAAACTCGGATCCTGCGCATCCGCAGCAATGGCGCCAAACGAAATAAAACCCGCAGTTCAACTGCACACTTCCGTCAGCTCCCTACCTTTTTCCTCCGGCCCACGCTCCTTTTTTCCTACTACGTTCATTTTTCTGTTTCTGTTGCCCTTGTTTTTCTTTTTTTTCCCCCGCTTTTGCGTACGGGGCTCACTCCGCGCAGCACGCCACCCCCTCGCAGCCATCATTACTCGCTCCCCCCACCCCACCCCACACACACACCGCGGGGCCTCACAGGGTCGCCCACTGCTCCTCCGCCGCCGGGTTGACGCAGGTGGTGAGGTGCTCGAGGAGCGCCGTTGCCCGCAGCCCGCGCACGCCCCCCTGCGCCGCGGCCGCGAGATCCCCTGCTGTGCCGTGCACAAGGCACCCCACACACGCCGCGTGCCACTGGGGAAACTGCTGCGCCAGCAACCCCGCAATGACGCCGGTCAATACGTCTCCGGCGCCACCGGTGGCCATGCCGCAGTTCCCCGCATCCGCCACAACACAACGCGCGGAAAGCAGCTCGCGCGCGGCGCCCGACAGAGCAGCTGCGGGCTCCGCACCCTCGGCGGTGTACAGGACTGTGCCGGGCCCCTTCAGCAACGCCACACCCCCGTAGGTTTCCGCTAACCGCTGTGCCGCCCGAAATCGATCATGTTCGACTTCAGCCGTGGTGCACCGCAGCAGCCGCGCTGCCTCTCCGGGGTGGGGTGTGATGATGCGGCTCTTGAGGGGCGCGGTGAATAAATCCGCGCCGCCCTTCTGCGTCTGCGCCCCAGCCGCCATGAGGTTCAGCGCGTCCGCGTCCCACACCGACGGCTTCTCTGGATGCTCTTGACAGTGCGCCAAGACCTGCGCGAGAGCCGTGGAGCCCCATTTGTCCTGCCCCAGCCCCGGCCCCACCACCACGCACGTCGACCAGTCCAGTGCCGTGCCGAGGTTGTCTGGGGTCAACTCCGCCGTCATCACCTCCGGGCAGCGCGACAGGAGGGGAAGCGCGTGCTGCGGCCTCGACAGAACACGAACAAGTCCGGCCCCGGTGCGCAGTGCCGCCTCAGCGGCCATCACAATCGCCCCACCAAAGCCAAAGTCGCCACCAATAATAACCACCTTGCCGTTCATGCCCTTGTGTGCGCACGGGGATCGCGTCTGGGCAAGCAACTCCTGCAGGTGCGAACTCGACAGACGGCGACAAAAGAGCTGCTCTTGACGCTCCTTTGCCAGCATCCACTCCCCAACCTGCAGACAATTGTAGTGCAGGGTCCCAGTGAAGTCGCGTGCGCGGCCGGTGAGGAGGCCTGGCTTTAACGCGATAAACGTGACCGTGTGTTCTGCCCGCACACATGCGCCCTCCACGACGCCAGTCTCGGCGTTCAAGCCTGACGGAATGTCAATGGCCACACGCGGCACGGGAAGGGCGTTGACCCAGTCGATTAGGCGCGCGTAATCGGCGCGCGGCGCCCCACCAATCCCTGTGCCCAGCAACCCGTCCACCACCAAATCAACATCCTTCGCCGTCGCGGTGTAGTCCCAGTGTTCCGCGTCGTGCATCGCTACGCCGCCGCGCTGGTGGAGCGCGGCGAGCGCGGCGGTGGCCTCCGGAGGAAGCGGCTTTGCCCCTTTGATTGCCACCACCGTCACACGAAGGTTGGCATCCGCGGCAAGGCGGGCAATCTCGTACCCGTCCCCGCCGTTATTTCCACTCCCGCAGAGAATCAGCCAATGCCGCGACGCGGGATACTCGCGGCGGAAGACGTCAAAGGCCGCCTTGCCGGCTCGCTGCATTAAGGCGTAGAGCGTGATGTCGTGCGCCCGCGCCGCCTCCACCTCCGCCTGCCGGAGCCACGCCGCCGACCACACACAGGACCGCAGCATTTTTTCATGCAGCCCTGACGTCATACATCGGGCAGGCAACTTGCTGAGCGGCAGCATTGCTGAATGCACGGCGAGGAGGGAGGGGAAAGCAAAAAAAAAAGACCAGGAAAGCGAAATCTGTCAATGAGCTACACAATACAACTGCTTCCTACCAGGCCGCACGCACAACGAAGGCACGGCGCGGAAAAGGAGAGGAAGTGGAGAAAATGCAAGAGGGCTAAAGAAAGGAAGTCGGTAGTGCCGAGGGAGGCTGCGTAGAAGCGAGGAATTGCAACACTGCAAAGCACAACCCAGACAAACACGTACGCGCGCACACAGTCGCATACAACGTAACATTTAAAAAGTATGCCCCACTCCGTCTATCCGGGAGAATCCATCGTGTATGTGCATGTGCATGTGCATGGGAGGGCTTCTGCGCTACACACACACACACACTCATGTATATATAGCAGTCTGCGTCCGTATTCGAGTCAAAGAGGCATGTGTTTGCATCGCACGGGTTCACCCGTAGCGAGCAAAAAGAAAAAAAAAGGAATAAAACACACGCACACACGCACACACGCACACACATGAAAATGGAAAGTCTGCTTCAAAAGCCCAGACCCAGCGCCTGCTCTAAATCCGGATCGTCGTCCTCGTCTTTGTTTATTGCGTCACCTGCAACACCAGTCGCAGCAGCTGCACCGTTTGTCTTCCCGTCAAACGCCCCAGACGTGACTGTCGCAGGTGTGACAGGGAACTCCGCCGCCGCCGCTTTTGCCGCCGCGCCTTCGTCGGGTTTCGCGTCGCCGTCGTCACGAGGCCGCTTCTCTCCAGCCACCGTAGCAGGCGCGCCGTTGGCGTCATGATGGTCCTTGGCGACCGACGGCGCCGCGGATTCCCTGAAGCCGGCTGCCGTCTTCACAAACGCGGGTACTTTCGAGATGTCCTCCACCGTGATGACTGGCAGGCGCGTGACGCCCTCCTTGTACTGCCGCAGCTGCCGCACAATGCCGTGGAAGACCCGAATGCTCGGGGCCAGGTCGATCTTCCCCGCGGGCGCCTTCGGATCCACCGACATGCCAATAAAGTAGTGGCAACTAAACGCCTTGGCTGCAGCGGCGGCCTCCGCCGCCCCGGGGCGTTGCTGGAAGGCCAACCCCGTCGAGCTGCGGCCCCCGCCGCTGCTACGCTGCGTCTTTCTTAGGAGGTCGGCCCGTGCCTCAACCTCCTCCGGTGCCTCGTACCGCCGTGGATTGAGTTGGAGTCGCAGGTGGCGGACATGCTCCAGAGCCTGGCCGCGCGTCTCTGCCGTGCCGGCCCAAAGGAAGCGGATCTTCGACTCCACGGCGTCGATGTAGCCCTGATACGCCTCTGCGTCCGTGCATGACACCTGCACATGCAGGTAGTACTTGTACTCCCCGAAAAACTTGACAGGTTCCAGCAGCCTACTCCACACACCGTGCGGACCAAAGCGTGACTTGGCCTCTTCAACGGAGATGGCGAGGCTGGAGCTGCAAATTTCATGCCCCCGGGAAAACTCGACACAGAGCTGTCGAAGGTTTGTCAGTGTCACGTTAAAACACGCGTTGCCGTACGGCACGGCGGGGGTGAGAACAGGGAAGAGCGCCATCGCGTCCGACTTGGACTCGCGCGGATCCCAGCTGCGGCCAAGGCTTGTCTTGACGCGCATCGTCTCCGTTAAATAAATGGCTCGATTTTCCTTGCCACTCTCGTGCGGATTCGGCGAGAACCAGGCGTGGTAGATGCGAAAGAAGCGGACCACAATGCCGGCGGCGTTCTGGTTCGGGTGGCACTGGCAGACAAAGGCAACAAGGATAGCCCACCCAATACCGCTGGGAAAACCAAAGGTGTTGCTGTAAATTCCGCGCGCCTTCCCCCACGCCTTGATGAAGCGCAGGGCCTGACGAAAGGAGGCCTTGTGGGGGACGAGGTCCATGATGTTGTGGGCCACACGCACCGCATTACAGCTTAGCACAGATTGGTCGTCAAGCCCCTGCATCAGGTCGTCGGTGATCACCTCCGGCACGCGATCCTGTCGAATGGATCCAAAGGACAAGTCGATGTCAATTCCGTCCGCCACCATCGCGATGAGAGGCACTCGGGCGTCTCGAATGCAGTGCAGCTCCGTAACCCGCGGCTCGTGCTGCAGGCGTGGGGCGAGGGTGTTAAAAAAGTGCTCACGAGTGATGCGGTTAGGGGCGATGAGGACGACGTCAATGTCGCTGCCCGACGCGTGCACGTTGTAGCGGTAGGAGCCCGTGGCGAAGATGCGCCCCTCCACCTGCGACGCCGCCTCGGCCGGCATGCGAAACTCCGTGATCATCGTGGAGCGGATCCACGCGCGCACAATGTTGTTGAGGTGCTCCAGCACCGAGCGCCGCCTGTTGGCCTCCTCCTCCGGCTCAATCCCCGCCACGCACCAGTCCACAAGCGGCAGGTTGTGCTCCTCCTCCCTGGGCGAGGGGCCATCGGCGGAGATGACCTTCTTTGCCAGGAAGGACTTGTCTGCGACGGACATGACGACCCCGCCCGCCTCCCCCCGCTCCTACCGCGTGCAGCCCGGTTCTCTCCGTTTACTTCTGTCCTTGCTTCTCCGTCTGCTCCGGCCTTTAGGACGCGCCGCCGCCGCCCCAGCCCCGTCACCGCGGAAGAAAAGAAGGCGGGGGTGGGGGAAGAAGGTGGGCCACAGGGAAACCTCGCCGGCCTCGTAGCTCTCCCGCCGTGTGTCCGTCTCAGTCTCTCTCTCTTTCTGTGCGTGTGTGTGTGTATGAAAAGATAAAGGGGCGGAGGAGGGAGGGGCGCAAACTGCAGTCCTCACGGCGGGCAGAAGCCGGCGCCCTTCCACCGCGGGAATAGTGCGACGGGAGAAGCAGCCAAAACAAAGACAAAACTGATAAGACTCCGAGGAGGGAGAAAAAAAAGCGGAAGGAAAAGGAGGGTGGGTAGAGCGGCACTCCTCCCGCGCCTTGAGCAGCAACAGCGGCAACAACGTGCCAGGGATGAAGGGAAGGCAACGCCAAAAGAAGTACAAACGAAAAGTGGCACACGCGCAGCAATAGGCAGTAATACGTGCGGAAAAGAAGAAGAAAAGAAAGAGGGACAGATACAACGAGCAACGGGTTCCTTCGGAGAAGATTCGGTTTCCCTCGTCGCCTCCAGGGACGGAAGACAGACACGTGCAGGAGGAAAAGTTGCGTGTCCGTCTTTGCGTGTGTTTGCGTGGGTGGATGCCTACACGTCGGCAGTAGAAGCCAACGTCAAGAAGCAAACCCACCACCAACAGAGAGAAAAAAAAAAGCATGCCGCTGTGTAATCCCGCCGAAGTCCACCGCGGTGACGCGTCCCGCACCCTCACCGTTTTGTCGCGCGTGTGTCCTTCCTCGTTTTTACCCCTCCCCGTTCTTTTATTTATCCCTTTCATTTCGCTTTTGATCGCTCCTTAGCTCTGCCTTCGCGTGCCATGCGTGCCTGCCTCTCCCCCCTGCCGCGGAAACAGAGCACACGCCTGCGCGAAGCCCCACCACACACGGCACGCCTCCCTGCAGACACACTGGGGCCACACACACGCAAAAAAAAAAAGCACACTCAACTCCTACTACTTCTCCATAAGCACGTCGAGGGGCGAGGGATCCAGGGCGATCTGCAGCAACTCCTGCGCGACGCTGCGGTTCATTAGGGCCTCCTTCTCATCGCCCGCCGAGCGCGTGGCGGAGGCGGCCGTGGCAACCGACGGCGGGGTTGTCGCCATGACGAGGCGGTCCAGCAGCGCCTGCACGAGCTGCTGAAAGAAGGCCCCGCCGCCGTTCCACGCGCACTGCAGGGACCCGCCCCCCCGCACGGTGATGCCGCTCGCGTCCACGTCCGTCACCTCCGGCTCCTGCGCCGCTGCCTCGGCGGGGCGCAGGATGCCGCACACCACGACGGGCTGCGGCCCAAGCGCGGGCTCGACACCCCATCATCACGTCCGCCGCCTCCACGAGGGTAACCTTGCGGCGCGGGTCGTAGCAGAGGCCGACGGCGTGGCAGTTGGAGCAAATAAACCGCCGCAGCTCCTCAAAGCGTGGCTCACCCGAGGTGTCGTAGATGTGCAGCATCACGTGCGCCGTCAGACTCCCCGTCAGACGCACCATCTTCTCGTGGCGCACGAACCCCACCGTCGGCAGCGGTCCCCCGCCGCCCTGGTCGTCGCTCCCCCGCGGGGCGACAAAGTGCCGCACCAACGACGTTTTTCCGACACCCGCGGCGCCGATGACGGCTATCTTCAGCGGACTTGAGAAGAGCGTGCGGGCGGCGACGGAGAAGGAGGAGAGCCCGCGGCACCGCGCCATCTCCTTCCGGCGCGCAAAGTCGAGAAACTGCGTAAAGTTGTACCGCGCATGCAGCGAGATGACGCGCTTTGAGGCGTCTGTCAAAGACACGTTGTCAAGGTCCGTCCTAAATGTTTGCAGGGGTTCCCTCTGCCACTGAAGAAAACGCCTGCGGAGTGAGAGCGCGGAGCCCTGTCGCCGCATTGGGATCCGCAGCTGCGTCTCCTCCTGCTGCCGCTGGGCCATGTTGTGCTGGTACCAAATCACGTTGTCTCTCGAAATGAAGTAAAGGTCCGAGGACACAAGCGAAGCCTCCAGCAGGTCATGCATGCTCAAGAACGAGAGCACCCTGACAAGAAGCGACCACTGACACATTTTTAGCTCCCCGCGGCATCTCCGCCGCATCTGCCCGCTCTCATCCCGACGCGGCACAACAAGCTGAATCTCGTAGTAGCATGCACAGCAGATGCGGTGCGTCGTGGTTGCCGCCGGCAATGGTGAAGGGGGTCGGGACTGCTGCTGCTGGCAGTGCAGCAGTTGCGGTTGAGACTGGCACAGGCGAAAGGAGCCCGGGATGCTGGAGTCCCCCGCCCCTGCAGCTGTGTCAGCGGCAGGACCCAGCACGGCTGGCGCGGGCGCCGTGGGCTCCACACCCTCCGTCCAGGAGAAGGTGCGAAACGCGCGTGGGCCAGTGTAGGGGTTGCGCAGCGTGACGGTGTGCGAGCAACAGGCCGCACAGAAGAGCCGCCCACAGTGGCGGCAGTGATGCTTCCTGTTAAACAGTGAGAAGGAGACGTCGCAGCCGTGTCCCATGCACGTCATTACCTGCGCGTCGGGCACCCAGCATTCCTCCGGACACAACCGGATGAGAGAGGGGTCCAACGTCGGCTTCAGCAGCGAGCACGTGTTTGAGGAGTTGCCGCCGACGCCGTTACTACTACCAGTGGAGCCTCCCGACGTATTCGCCGCCAACGATGGGCGCGGCGTCAGGGAGGCACCGCCATTATAAGCATTGCTGTTGCTGTTGCCGCTAACGTATGGTATAAACACCCGCAGAGCCGTCGGGGAAGATGCGGCGCCCATGTCCCGTGTTCCGGCGAGATCCACGTGGTCCATCGTCCCTCCCGCCGCTGCCCGCGCGTTGCCCTGGCGCCCCTTGCCTTTTGTGTGGGGAGCGCGGGAAGGTCCGGCAAGCACCTCCCCACCTCTGCCTCCGCCTCCGCCTCCGCCTCGGCCGGCCGCGGGGTTCAACTAATAAGCCGCCTACGGGTGAAGTGCCGTCGCACACGCAGCAAGCGGCGTTGCCGAATCGCCTGAGAAAAAAACGAAGCCACTACAAAAGAAGAAGGAAAAAAAAAACACGAAAAAAAAAACAGTCTCGTGCGTGCTTGTGTGCTTGTTGCGGGAGAGAAGGGGAGGGGGGAGGGAGGCTTCCCTCACAGCCTGTGGGGTGCGTGCATGCGTGCAGGCAGCAGGTGGCAAGGAAGCGCGAAGAGGAGACACAAACGCCTACAACTCCCACCACATCATTCCACAGAGGCCGAGAAAGCGCAGACGACGCACGGAGGCGCCTGTGCCGTCCGCAAACACCACACCCGCCGTTGCAAAAAAGATCCAGTCGTGAAACTCCAACCGCACAGGCATAACATCCGAGCCTTGGGCTGCCCCGGTGGCAGCATACGCCTTGGACGCCTTCATGAGCTCCTGCAGCTGCGCGCTCAGAAGGTGCATTGGCGGGTGCTCACGCCGCAACGCCAACTCTTCCGCCCGCTGCACCGCGTCTATCGGGCGAAACACCTCGCCGCCGTCGGGGGAGGAGTACGCCCGCTCCCGCGAAAACAGCAGTCGCCTGCGCGCCAGCCGCGCCTCGTCATCCGTCGCGCCGCCGCCGCCGCCACAGTCGGATGTGCGTCGCCGCAGCCACCCCGCCCACCGCCCCCCGGCGGCGCCCCGGCACGCCACATCGCCTTCCCGCTTCCCTGGCGCCTCCGCCGGCAGCGGGGGAAAGAGGCGGTTGAATTCCACGTCGTGGTGGCGCCGCTCCGCCAGGTAGCGGAGGAAGTGCCCCTCCTGCGGCCGCGCCACAAACATGCCGTATGCCAAAAAACCCGGAATGATGAGGCGGCGCAGCTGGCGGAAAAACAACTCCTGCCGGCGAATGCGCTGCGCCCGCGCCGAGTAGCCGTGCGAGCCCTCCGCCGCCGCCGCCGCCGCCGCGCCCGCCCGCGCGCAGGCCGTCCGTCGCAGCATCGACCCGCCCACCCTCTCAGCCCAACAGAAACCACGCTTTCTGCAAATGCACAGACGCAAGCCACGAGAAAACGCAGGTAAGCACAAAAAAAGGAGGAGATGAAAGGGTCAATGCGTGCGGCTGCCCCGCTCCGACGCCAAGTCAAGGTGGGAGGTGCAAAACAACGGCCTCTCGAATTCGAAAGAAAAAAAAAGGAAGTGAAACAAATCCCCTTTTCCCCAACAAAGCGAACAGCAAAAAAAAAAGGCATGCGCTGCGAAGGTGCGGGCCACATAGTTCAGGTCAACACAGGCACGGTTACAGCCCTTGAAAAACTGTTCCTGTCAGAAAGAAAGCCCCAAACAAAATGGAAGCACGGGAACGCCAAGGCGACAGTAACGGCATGTAGTCGCCGCCACCTGCACCCCCTTTATTTTCTCCAAAGGTGTGCCCCTCGACGTGAGACAAATGCGCCACTCACACCTCGAGAGAGAAAAAAAACGAAGGGGACACCAGCCACGGGAGACGACAGCAATTGTTTACATGTACCCAATGATCTCATTAATAAAAAAGTTTGCCTCCCATGTATACATCAAAAATTTTTATTCGTGGTGGCGCCGTATACCCGCCAAGCCCGCTGTGCGAGGGCACGCAGTGGCAGCCTCTGGGGGCTCCCCGCAACCCGCCGCCGCCCCCCCCCCACCTCAGCCGGGTCGCCACTGGCCGCGGCAGGGCGGCAGGGCGGGGGAACAGAACCACAGAACTGCACCCGCTGCCCTCCAACGCGGTCTCTCAAGAAACAAAATAAAAAACAACAACAATAAA